TCACTCCAGAAAGAATGGCTGCTCTCATGAAACCAACCAATAACAAATGCTGGTGGGGCTGTTGGGAAAGAGGAACCCTGATCCACTGCTGCTGGGAGTGTAGACTGGTGCAAGCACTGTGGAAATCAGTATGGAGATACCTCAAAGAACTAGGACTGGGATTCCCATTTGACCCTGCTCTTCCACTGCTGGGGATCTTCCCCAAAGAATTAAAAGTATTAAACTTAAGGAGCAGCCTTCACCAGAGCCCCACTGTGCTGTTTGGATCTTGAAGCTTTATAAATGAGAGCTAAATAAACCTCTTTTCATGCATAGTCTGTTTTAGCTATTCTGTTAAAATGACAAAAACCCAACTAATAGAGGCACCCACCTACCTTTTTTTAACCTCTCTAATATTTTCTCTTTCAAGCATCCTACAGTATGTTATGGTTTCAAAATCATGTGGAAATAGCACTTTTCCTTGACTTCAACAGAAAATAGATCTCATTGCTTTTCCTGTTGCTTAATGTCTTAGTTTTAGGTCAACAGAGAACATTAAAAAGTATATATATATAATGAATTAGACTATATATTCAACAGACAGATGGCATTGTGAATCCCAAAACTTGCTAGGTTGCCTTCTGTGTGCTATTCTGGAGAATAGAAACATAAAGGAAGCACTCCAAGATCATTTCTACACTCTCCAGCAGCATCAGCAGGAGTGTAAAATTATTCTTCCTTTCAGTCTGCTCAACTTGTACTTGATTAGTCTATTATGCTATATAAAGACCACGAAAAAGCACACTTCAAGTGTAGTGTCTGTCACATTCCAGACTGGGAAAGGGTACTAGATTGTTTGCTCAAGGATGCAATTTTGCCCTTTGTCTTAATTAACAGTTAGACGATTGTGAGGCATAAGTAATGGGGTGACATGGAAAATAAATGCTGTTCACCTGCAGCCAAGCACTCTCTAAATGAAATTATTTTTCTCTTCTTTTGAGTCAGCCATTATCACGTTAAAAAAGAATGATCTGATTTCAAAACACAAGAGAGAAGATAGATAGATAGATAGATAGATAGATAGATAGATAGATAGATAGATAGATAGACAGACAGTAAGTGATGCAGTGCCTTATATAGGTAGGAAGCTTTCTTTGAAGCAGCCTAGCGTTCCTCACTCAGGATTCTCTTTTCATCTGCAATTTTCATCGTTCAATTGTGTAATTACTCGGAGTTATTTTTTAAAAGAGCAAGTACTGACTCTCACCTTTGAAAACAATAAGGCACTGTGAAAAATAGATGCCATAGTTCTTCTGCTTTTAATTATTACTAGTGTTGGAATTTGTGTTTAGGATTAGACTAGAGTCTGTGATATTCAAAAGGTTAGTGGAACTATAACATCTAGCCATTAGGTGAACTGGGGGAAGTATTGTTTAGTATTGAAATGATATTTGTTGAGCACCTTTTCCATGGCAAGGCTGTGTTTGGCATTCATCTCTACTGCAAAGCAACAAAAAAGCAAAATGAAACAAACAACCCCCCCCCTCAAATGAGACACCCAGTTAAACTTAAATTTCAGATTATTAATGAATCATTTTTCTAGAATAGTGTCCCGAATATTACATATTAATATAAACATGATTTATTGTTACCTGAAATTTGTTACCTGCATTCTGTCAATGCTAATTAAAAGATATAGAGTCATAATCCCTGATATTGATAATTTCGCTCACTGCTGATGTCCATATGTAACTGCTATTGGTCAGAGCTGCAGCAGAAGTGAAGCTTCATGCTTTACAAGTACAGACAGAGGTGGTGCTAACTTGATTCTTTCACTAGAGAAATGTCTACAGGCTACTCAAAAATATTTAACAGCATGCTGATGTTCTGTAGTTGTACCTGAGATTGATTTCCTTTCCCTCAAATCTATTTCTCCCATGGTTGAATTCTCAAAATTGACAGAGAATTAGAAGTGAATAAGTCAGTTCTTCTAATTTGAACAAGCCTGTGGGAATTCTTCTCCCTGGGGTGTGTGTAACCGGGAAACTTTTTCAGTCATATGATATTAGATTTTTATTTTAACCAACATGTAGCACCATAGCAAAAAGTTTTAACTGACTTGGAAGTTGCAGCCAGTCATGTGCTTTTCTTATTACCTCTCAAGAATGGATAGTGCTGTTGCAAACATGTGTCTATATTTACTGCTCAGACACCCTCCCGAATGGGTAGAAATTCCTTACTGAATGCTGAATCTCTGTCATGTACTCATGATTATTCAGTTGTTTCTCCCGAGACAGAGAAGTGAAAGTCACATGGAACTGGATTTAGAATCTCTGAACTTGAGTCTTAGTGTTGTCTAATTTGCCACCTAGCTAAAATTTGCATGTGCATGTTAGTGTTGTCCTCTTCCAGTTAATTATCTTGTAATAATAGTTATGACATATCTACTGAGGATTTATTTGGTCCAAAATGGTTCTAAATATGTATATACATTTTCATATAAACTTCAGCAACAACCAGTTAGAAGAGTGTCATTATTATCCCATCAGACAATGTTTCAGTTAAGTTTTACTCTTTAACAAAGCGCTCCAAAATGTAGTGACTTAAAATATTTATTATTTCCAGTTTCCCTGTGGGTTGACAATCTGAGAGTGTTCTGCTGGTGTGACCTGGGATCATTTAGGTCATGGTGCATTTGACCACTCCAGAGAGTCCAACATGACCTTCCTCACACATGTGCTTATTGGTCATTAGCTGGAGTTCCAGATGTCTTCTCTATATGGCCTCTACTTCTACAATAGGCAGGGACCTTTTCAGAACACAATAATCTGCTTTGAAGAAGATAAAAATGAAAAGTTCAAAACCTCTTTAAAACCTCCTCCTGGAACTGGCATAATGTCACATCCATTGCATCCTCTTGGTCTGAACAATTCCTAGGGCCAGGCTGGACTCAGGGTGGGAGGGGTTACACAAAGGCACTGGGCAAGGAGATGTGCCATCTGAAGCCAGTGTGGAGCATTTTGCCCCATGCAAATACCTAAATAGAGACACAGAATGTTTGAATACCTTACAGTAGGTCATATTATTTAAGTAATAGAACTAGATTTTAAATTGATACAAACCTCTCTTTGTTACTACAGGTTACAGTTAATTATTACAGTAATGCTGCTATTTATCCAAGGTAATTTTCTGGAAAGATGACATTTATTTGGTACATAAGTTCCTGTATCTTTATTTTAAAATCATCTTGTAATTATTTTTGAAACTTCTGTTTATTTAAAAAGCTACCTGTGGAGAATTGTAAACAACTGCAATTAATACCTAATGTTACTGACTAGTTTAACTTTGGTTTAAGTGCCACAAGAAGCTAAAAAATGTAGATGTACATTTAGATTCTTATTTTTGCCATTATAGAAAGAAAAGTTAAGTTAAATGGTGCAAAATCAATTATATCTTTTCATTCCATCTAGAATAAGGTGTCAGAGAGGGAGAATGATAGGTAATATATCTTCTATTCATAAAATAAAAAACTAATCTGAAACTATAGACAGTTCCAAGAAAATCATTATATCAATGTTCTTAGAAGTTTTCAGTGGGGTTAGGTGTGCATTTTGAGACTTAAATCCATTATTGAAAATGATTTCTCCAAGCAAACAAAGATTTCATATCACAGAAAATTAAATTTCTGACCAGAATGTCAGATCAGACAGATGTAATGTCATTCCTTAACATAACAGAAAAAGTATTGAGATACTTAATACAAACCAAAATAACTGCTCATTGGTGGACTGAATGTACTGAGATAAAAAAAATCAACCTACAAATTTTAATTTCAATTACTTTATTAGTTGCTCCAAGGTTGACCTATATTTTACTTGTTGCATGTTAAAAACTAGTTTCATTTGATTGTTCATAAATTATTTATACATTACTTTCCTTTCTCTAAATGAAAATGGATATTTTTGTGATTATATTTAGATTTGTGTACAAGGGAATAAACCAGAGAATTATATTTTTAAAAACAATTTTATTAGTACATTTTAGGTATGCAATATATTGGCATTCATCATTGGAAATTTGCACCTTTACATAATATACCTTGATGCTTATTTTATCCCCCTTCCCCCACCCTCCCTTCAACCCCTCTAACCCTATTTACACAGACTTTGTTTCCACTTTTTAATTTTCTCATATTAATTCCATTCTCTTCTTTCCTTTCCCCTACCCCTCCCACTTCCCCTTACCCTTTGCCCCTTTTCTTCCT